CATGGGCTGGAGGGAATACTAAGAGCTCAGTTTTAGAAAGATTGAGTTTGAGGAAGTGGAGTGACATCCATGCCGATATGTCGCTTAGTAGGTTAGTATTGTGAGAGAGGAGACTGAAGGAGTGAGGGGTGAAGGGGTGAGGTGAGGAGGAGACTGAAGGGGTGAGGTGAGGAGTAGAAAGATAGATTTGTGTGTCATCAGCATAGAGATGGTACTTAAAGCCGTGGGAGTTTATCAAGAGACCAAGGGAGGAGGTGTAGATGGAGAAGATAAGGGGTGCAAGGACAGAACCTTGAGGGACCCCTACAGAAAGAGGAAGTGGAGAGGAGAAGCCAGAGTTATAAGTAATGCTGAAGAAGCACTGTGATAGGTAGGAGGAGAACCAGGAGAGAGCAGAGTCTCGGAGGCCAAGAGAGTGGAGTTTTTTGAGGAGGAGTGGATGGTCAACCGTATCAAAAACTGCAGAGAGGTCAAGAGTACGAAGTAGTGGCCATTGGTTTTAGCTGTTAGTAAATCATTAGTGAGTTTTAGTAGGGCAGTTTCAGTGGAGTGTAGTGAGCAAAAGCCAGACTGTAAAGGGTCAAGAAGGTTGTTGTCAGTGAGGTAGGAGCTCCGGCGATTGTAGACTATGCATGATATAAAAGAAAAAGCAAACAAATGCTGTAACTCCTGCGCTGGACGATGGGACTCCACAATGTCAGTGACCCCACATAGAGTGGAACTGTGGATAAAGAAAAAAAACAGAGGATGCACAGGCCTAGTGCATTACCTTCTAAAATGAGATTTATTGAATAAAAACTTGTATACTCACAAACAAATAAAATCAAAGACACATCACAAGAATGACAGCATGATCTGAAGGATGAGGTTCAGCCCCGAAACACGTCAGCCTTTTGGAGGTCTACAGTCCCCTACTAGCTACGATTTAGGGAGATTGGACCATGCTGTCATTCTCGTGATGTGCCTTTGATTTTATTTCTTTGTGAGTATACAACTTTGTATTCAATAAATCAAATTTTTAGAAGGTAATGCACTAGGCTTGTGCGCCCTCTGTTTGTTTCTTTATACATGATTGTAGACTAAGAGTTCTAAGAGTTTAGAGGTAAACAGGAGCAGGGAGATGGGTCTTAAGTTGTTCAGGTTGGTGGGGTCCTGCGTGGATACTCATATAAAAAAAAAAAACACATCCTGAGAACTAATGGTTCTAATACTTAATTTCACATTGCATTGGACTCTTATTTTACGTTGCATTGAACTTTTTTTTATTCTTGATCCCATTTTATTTGCTGTTGTTACTATTTTTTATTTTGTGTATTTTCTTTTTTCTGTAAATATTTCTGTAGCACCATTTCACTTTCTATTTTTTTGCAAAAATGTCCACTTTTTTACTGATCGGCATCAGTTCTGCCAAAAAAATTGCCAACACAAAATGAATAAATGTATCAAAAGCATGATTTATGTTTATTGGGCTTTAAATGAGTGTTTTGAGTGTTTTTATTGGGCTTTAGTGTTTTGAGTGTTTTTTAATATACTTTTAAAGAGATGTTAAACAATATTTTAGTCTTTTTTTTAACCTGTGGTTTATAAAGGAAGCCTATTGCTGTCAAAGCCCTGTTTCTAGGGGTCCCGCAATATATATAATATGGGGTTGACTTTGCTGACCTCTACTTGTAAAAATGCTAGTTGAAAGGTATCATCTTAGTGCACTGGCTTAAATATCTTCCCAGTTACTGATCTGGAACATACTGTATATGGAAAAAAAAATCCTGTGCTTAGTCAGTGTGATCTTGGTGAGGAGCCAATCAAGTACTGCACTCTGGGAGAAAGAGGCGGGTCACATGCTCACCTATAGCTGGAGGTACTGGATATTTCTAAGGGTTCTGACAATCAAACAGCACATAGCATCATAAAACAATAAAATAGGACCAGTGAGCTGAGATTCATTTATAGAGCCCACCTGGATGATACGGTAGCAGTGGTTCAAGTGAGATTACCCCAAAGGAGTGAGCTGTTCCATTAATGGCAGACAAGCGTCCATCCATCCATTAAGGAGGCCTTTGGTTGGATCCTGTTCATACGTACCTAGGGAGACATCAGCTCAGCTATTACGGCACAAACCATCCATTCCATCCTGAGCGGAGGACCTCTGGTTACATTATTTTGCGTATATAGAAATCCGCATCTGGTGAGTGCGTATTTTTACTATATTTCCTTGGCATGCCACTGAAGTCCGAAGTCATTACCAGTTCTTGTATTCATCACTCTACTATGGACTAACACTTATTAATGAGACTACATATATTTTTTAGCGCTGCACATTTATGAGATATTAGCATATAGCATCAAATGTGAAAATTGGTGGGAGGCAGGGAGAAGGAATGAAGGGGGCAGGTGGGTTACCATGAGATCCTAACATTTAGCCGATTCAAGCATTCATTTTAAATAATGTTAGTTTACAGTGAAAACTATGCTTGGGAAAGAAATGACGAAACACTGCAATTATAATTTTTTATATAATAATAATAATAATTATATTTTAAAAGGTAATTTTGCACCTTTTAATGAGAAGGTGGTGTGGAATAAAAGCTTTCAAGAACGAAACGATGGCCTAATACTAAAATTGAAGGAAAATAAACTTCCTGACTTGATTGTTCCCGTCTTTGTGTGCAGGTAACTTTATAGCTTGTGAATCTGATCAGTGAAGTATGAATTATATTTTAATGTAAATGTCAATGTTTTAAATTCTTTGTTATATTAGAACTAATTATCAGCAAATCTGCCCGGGTTTGCTTTGCCAAAGGTCTTGGCGAATCTTTCGCAAAATTTGGCAAACCCGAACATACAAATTTAGAGGCGAATCCTACTGAAGTTTTGGGAGGGGCAAAACTTGGTAAAGTTCGTTAGTAAGCAGGGGCGGACTGACAACTCATGGGGCCCCTGGGCAATAGGCGATCATGGGGCCCCTGTGTCCTTGCCCAAACTCAAAAAAACCTATGAAAAAGGTACCAGGGGCATCTCATGGGGCCCCCTACTGACCACGGCCCTCGGGCAGTGCCCGAGTTTCCAAATGGTCAGTCCACCCCCGTTAGTAAGTACCACTGCAAAATACATTTTTTTTAGCAAAATGCTGTTCAGAGTGAGGACAGTGGTTTCATGTGGCTTTGAAGATAATACACAAATATTTTTAACAACATACTTGGTGGATGCCTTAAAGCTGCATGTGGTCTAACAAACCAGTAAGATTTCCATAGACAGTCCCAATGACCGCATAGATCGGCATCATATACTTGACTGATTATTATGTTTTTCTTTCACAAGAAATCTGATGAATTCCAGTTTTTTTTTTTTTATACAAAAAAAGTCCTAGAAATAAAGGGATTGTAGATAACACAATTGGCCAGCACCAGGACATTTTTAATGAGGAAAAATTGACCAAAATATACTAGAGACAAAAAGCACTCGCAGTTGTTTTACTCAAGAATCGAGATACTACAGAGAATACAGTACTGTATAATTGGCCAGTGTTTGGACCTTTTTAACCTGTATCACTACCAGACCATTTTTCCATTTTTAAATAGTTTTTTCTTTTCTTTTACTCACATTTTGGTCTGAAGAATACTTATAATCCCCATAACATTTTATATTTCTGAAAGCAGGGATCCTATACGATAAAAAGTCAGTAGATTTTATGTTTTTTTGGTGCCAGACCATTTTTTTAAACACATGCTAAGATACATGTTTTTTGGCCTAGAGACTATATATAACCCCTAAAACATAGATTTTTGTAAGCAGGGATCCTACAGAATAAAACATGGTAGTTGCAAATTTTTATGTTGCGGGATATTTGCAAAAACTCTTTATCAAAAATATTTTTTGTGCAAAAAAACATAAAAGATTTACTGAACAGAAACACATTTTTTGTTAAAAGATTAGATTTTGTTGAGTAAATACATGCCATGTGTGTCAGTTCTTAAAATTGCATGCATCTGCAAAATTGCGACAAACTATGCTACTCAAAAATTTTACTTTAACCCCTTTGTGCCTGAGGGTAAAACAAATCTTAATGCCGAAGGTCAATTTTGCAACTTTGACATACGTTAGTAAAACTGTACACATCATCGCAACTACTTTGTACATCCAGATGGATTATACCTTGTTTTTATTTCAGGACAAATTGGGCTTTCCTGTGGTGGTGAATGGTAATGGATCTCCTGATTTTTTTTTTTTTATTGTCAAAGGAAAACTGGCCCAAAATAGTAAAAAAAAAATCTAAAAAAAAAAAAAAAATTAGCTGTATATTTCTTGCTACTACCATAACCTACCACCAAAGAACAACCCAAAATAAATGTTCCTGCTCCTGAGGATCTCAGCAATACCACATGTTTTTATGTTAGTTGTTGTTTGTACCTGTAGTATGGCCCAGAAACAAGAGTGCACATTTTGGTTTTTTTTTAATCCTATCTAAAATACACTGACACTATTTTAAAAATATATATATTAAAAAAATGACTGACCTTTGACCCTAACCTTGACCCAAACACTAACCCTGGCACTGACCTAGATCAAACCTTGATCTAGGTATTTTTATTTATTTATTTGTGTTATTATTATTATTATTATTTTTTTTTCACCCACACACATGATTTTTTTTTTCTCTTAGCAAGGCTAGAGAGAGATACAATGTATACAATGTACACAGAGAGAACACACGGGGAGCAGGCATCACAATGACTAATCAGGTACAATAGTACCATACAGCATTGTGTCTACAAAATTGCATCAATCTTTATTGAACATAGATGAATATTAGCCGTAAAACAGTGAATAGGCGATGATTTACAAATGAGTACAATACTCCCATACAGAATTGTGTCGACATAACAGAGTTCCTAAATAGCCACCAACACGTTTCAGAGTACATCTACTCCTTCTTCAGGGCCGAGACTCTGTGCATGAAACGTATGGCCTCTAAAGACTGAAACATATATATTACAGTCATACACAGGGGCAGACTGACCATTTGGAAACTTGGGCTCTGCCCGAGGGCCCGGGGTAAGTAGGGGGCCCCATGAGATGCCCCTGGTACCTTTTTCATAGGCTTTTTTGAGTTTGGGCAAGGACACAGGGGCCCCATGCCCATCCCCTATTGCTCGGGGGCCCCATGAGTTGTCAGTCTGCCCCTGGTCATACAGTAATTCTATTGACAATTGTAGACAATTTTGTTGCATATATCTCAGAAATACAATACTCACAGCATATTATTATGGAGACCAAACAAAAGAATATCAATAATCAAGTTTCCGCCATATTGCAAACATTTGGTAATAGCCAAGTCTGTATATCCTCCCCAGACCGCATCCGGGCAAGCACCAACCGGGCCAATGCCCCCAAGAGAGCACTGAGACCACACCGATAGCAACAAAGGCGAGCTATATGCAAAGAATAACAAAAGTAACTATCAAGTAGCCAAAAAGAAAAGAGTATCATAACATCTTTGTCATATGTAAAAAGGGTATAGTGACTATTGGATCTAGTAAGACACCCACCACTGATAAGGCAGATGCAGATTCTATTATAGCCACTATTCTCAAAAGGTTAGTGAAACAAGTCAGATCCATACACAGTGAGATCATCCAATGTCATAAGCCACAGCTCATTCAAAAAAATGTAAAAAGAGTATCAAAACAAAGGGAAAAAAGCCCATATCGAGATCACAAAGAGGTATATAGCCATATAATCATATACTGAGCCCCATATGGAGCCGTGTAACAAAGCAAAGAAGAAAAGCAACATTAGTTTACCTAAATGGAGAACCAACGGCAAGACCGCAAGGAGTTATGTCCGGCTTGTCACCACTCTCCCTGACCTCACTCTCTCTTCTCTATATTCGGGTGACAAGCCGGACATAACTCCTTGCGGTCTTGCCGTTGGTTCTCCATTTAGGTAAACTAATGTTGCTTTTCTTCTTTGCTTTGTTACACGGCTCCATATGGGGCTCAGTATATGATTATATGGCTATATACCTCTTTGGGCTTTTTTCCCTTTGTTTTGATACTCTTTTTAAGGTTTTTTGAATGAGCTGTGGCTTATGACATTGGATGATCTCACTGTGTATGGATCTGACTTGTTTCCCTAACCTTTTGAGAATAGTGGCTATAATAGAATCTGCATCTGCCTTATCAGTGGGGTGGGTGTCTTACTAGATCCAATAGTCACTATACCCTTTTTACATATGACAAAGATGTTATGATACTCTTTTCTTTTTGGCTACTTGATAGTTACTTTTGTTATTCTTTGCATATAGCTCGCCTCTGTGGCTATCGGTGTGGCTTCAGTGCTCTCCTGGGGGGCCCTGGCCCGGTTGGTGCTTGCCCGGATGCGGTCTGGGGAGGATATACAGACTTGGCTATTACCAAATGTTTGCAATATGGCAGAAACTTGATTATTGATATTCTTTGGTCTCCATTATAATATGCTGTGAGTATTGTATTTCTGAGATTTATGCCACAAAATTGTCTACAATTGTCAATAGGATTATTGTATGACTGTATATATGTTTCAGTCTTTAGAGGCCATATGTTTTCATGCACAGAGTCTCGGCCCTGAAGAAGGAGTAGATGTACTCTGAAACGCATTGGATGCTATTTCGGAACTCTGTTATGTTGACACATTTCTGTATGGTACTATTGTACTTATTTGTAAATCACCGCCTGTTCACTGTTTTACGGCTAATATTCATTTATGTTCAATAAAGATTGATGCAATTTTTACTCATGTTTGATGATGCCTTTAAAGTCCCATCTAGGGGGGTTGTTTCTCCTGTACAATTTTGTACTTTAGGGATGTTGGCATCTATTAGATATATCTCAGGATCACTTCTGTACAAACTGCGTACAAATGTTCTCCTTATACTTGCTGTCCAGAACACATCCCCTGCATCCTGCACACTTGGTTATTATTTAAAAATAACTGGAATATTTGAATGTTTTTTTTATATTTATATTTTTGAGCTCTGGAAGTAATCTAAACTAACTGCTTTTCCTCTGTAGCTCAGAACATAACCTTAGTGATGTTGAATACAGCTCCTTCAAAACATTCTTAAAAAAGGCTCATGAACTTACTGGTAAGTGAGCACTAAATCTGATGTAACAGTAATTGTGATTAAAGAAAAAGAAAATCTATAAAGTCAGCTAAAGCGATATATTGGAGCCTACTGTGTTTTTGGCATAATGCTGATTTTCTTTAGAAAGCAGCCACAGCCTGAGTGGAAAATCCTATCCTCTGCCAGAATGCTGCAGAGAAGAACCTTTGTTTTCTGTGTGGAAGCAGTTGTCTCTCTTCTACTTCAACCCAGAGCATGAGACTTCTTCTCTGCGGCTATCATGGGGCCGGCTTATCTACTTAGGCTATTTCTGTTTTCAGCTTATAAGAGAGAGGACACTATTGTCCCATCCTGCTAATTAAAGGGCAGATTATTGACTCTGAATTCATGGCAAATACATTTTGTTAGACGTTTGCATTGTCCGATAAGCCCCCACCCGCAAACTTCTACAACCACCAGCCAGGGAAGAAACCCTTGCCTTTGTGGACTTGGGGACAAGGTTCTTTGCCAGGGGGAACTTTCCCAATGTTGAGGGCATGTGACCTGGTGTGGTTCAAGAAAGAGGGGAGCGCACACTCATCTACCCCCTTTCCTGACCATGCAGGCTGCATGCTAAGATTAAAGGATAAGTTCATCTTTTGGACAAAAATAATAAATGCACATTTTTTTGCAGGTACAAAATTGCATCTATTATTTTTGTCTACAGGAGCCTGGAAAGCATTGCATTAGTGACCAGTAGATCAGGATGTACCGGGTGTAAGGGATGTACGGGGTGCACAGAATGCAGGGCTGTGGATAAGGGGGTACCACCAGGCCTCCTGTACAAGGCCCAGGCAGCTGGGTGAATCAAATTTGAGCAGGGAGGGTGATCAGCAGCTCGAAACTGGCTTCTTCTCCTCTGCCTCCGGCTTTCAGCTGCTTCAGAGAGAGCCATACAGGGGATTGGTTCCAGTACTTGCACCACCACCGCACTGATCACCCTCACTCTGCACCATATGTTTCTCCCTGCTGCCCAGGTCCTCCTGTGTGCCCCCACCCACGCAGTACTGTTGGCTTCCTTCCTCTCCTTCATGCTGGCAGCTGCAAGCACACAATACAATCCTTCAGGATGGACAGTGGGGAAAGGGTCAAGTAAATATGTCATATTTATCAGCCCATCCTCTCCTGAATGAACACAATGAGTGATTGGTAACATGGGGTGTACCAGATGTACTGGGTGTACGGAATGTACTGGGTGTATGGAATGGACAGGGTGTACAGGATGTATGGGGTGTACAGGATGTACGGGATAAACTGGGTGTATGGGATGAACTGGGTGTATGAGATGTACTGGGTGTAGGGAATGGACAGGGTGTACGGGATGTACAGGATGTATGGGATGTACAGGGTGTATGGAATGTATGGGATGTATGGGGTGTATGGGGTGTATAGGATGTACAAGGTGTAAGGGATGTACAGGGTGTATGGGATGTATGGGATGTACAGGGTGTATGGGATGTACGGGATGTATGGAATGTACTGGATGTATGGGGTGTACGGGATGTATGGGGTGATAGGATGTACAGGTGCAAGGGATGTACAGGGTGTATGGGATGTATGGAATGTACAGGGTGTATGGGATGTACAGGGTGTATGGGATGTATGGGATGTACAGGGTGTATGGGATGTATGGGATGTACGGGATGTATGGGATGTACAGGGTGTATGGGATGTACGGGATTTACAGGATGTACAGGGTGTATGGGATGTACGGGATGTACGGGGTGTATGGGATGTATGGGGTGTATGGGATGTATGGGATGTACAGGGTGTATGGGATGTATGGGATGTACGGGATGTATGGGATGTACAGGGTGTATGGGATGTACGGGATCTACAGGATGTACAGGGTGTATGGGATGTACGGGTATGGGATGTACAGGGTGTATGGGATGTACGGGATGTATGGAATGTACGGGATGTATGGGGTGTACGGGATGTATGGGGTGTATAGGATGTACAAGGTGTAAGGGATGTACAGGGTGTATGGGATGTATGGAATGTACAGGGTGTATGGGATGTACGGGATGTATGGGGTGTATGGGATGTATGGGATGTACAGGGTGTATGGGATGTACGGGATGTATGGAATGTACGGGATGTATGGGGTGTACGGGATGTATGGGGTGTATAGGATGTACAAGGTGTAAGGGATGTACAGGGTGTATGGGATGTATGGAATGTACAGGGTGTATGGGATGTACGGGATGTATGGGGTGTATGGGATGTACAGGGTGTATGGGATGTATGGGATGTACAGGGTGTATGGGATGTATGGGATGTATGGGATGTACGGGATGTATGGGATGTACAGGGTGTATGGGATGTACGGGATCTACAGGATGTACAGGGTGTATGGGATGTACGGGATGTACGGGGTGTATGGGATGTATGGGGTGTATGGGATGTATGGGATGTACAGGGTGTATGGGATGTATGGGATGTACGGGATGTATGGGATGTACAGGGTGTATGGGATGTACGGGATCTACAGGATGTACAGGATGTATGGGATGTACGGGATGTATGGGATGTACAGGGTGTATGGGATGTACAGGGTGTATGGGATGTACAGGGTGTATGGATGTACGGGATCTACAGGATGTACGGGGTGTATGGGATGTATGGGATGTACGGGATGTACAGGGTGTATGGGATGTACAGGGTGTATGGGATGTACGGGATCTACAGGATGTACGGGGTGTATGGGATGTATGGGGTGTATGGGATGTACGGGATCTACAGGATGTACGGGGTGTATGGGATGTATGGGATGTGCTGTCAAGCAGATATTCTGACAGGAAGATTCAATGAACTATCACAGCGCCCCACAGCACCCTGGTCGTTTATTGAAAACTACAAACTGACAGCTGCTAAGGCTGTTGGGACTTGCAGTTCATTCATTCACAGAATCCTGGGAATGAATGGCGTGGTCATGTGGGTGGAACCCCGCACAGCCACGCTGTTTTCAAATCTGACAAGCAGTACGAGGAAACACGTAACATGTTCCCAAAGGTGAACTTATCCTTTAAAGGTCTGGTATGGATTTCTTGAGGGACCGTGCAAATTTATTTTTATTTTTTGTATGGGGTACCTTCTAACAATTCATACCAAACTCAAGGGTCTGGTATGAATTTTGGTGGAGACTTTTTATTCCTGCTGTACGATGTGCTACAGCAAAAATGATAGTTATTAAAAATGAAAAAAATAAAACCATACAGACTTAGAGGTCTGCTATATTGGTTTTGTAAAATGTAAAAAAAAAATGTAAATGTCAGCTCTGGTGCAACACTTTCTGTCCAATGACACAGCTGATCACAAAGTAAAAACAGCGTAAGGAAAGTACTGCCGATAACCGGCAAGTGTCACAGAGGATCTATAATGATAATCAGTGCAGCCTCAAAAGTGCTCAGCAATGGCGCCCATCAGTGCCCAGCAGTGCCACACAGCAGTACCACCCAGCAGTGCCCAGCAGTTCCGCCCATCAGTGCCCAGCAGTACCACACAGCAGTGCCCATCAGTGCCACCCAGCAGTTCCGACCATCAGTGCCACCAGTCAGTGCTGTCAGTCAGTGCCGCCTATCAGTGCTGCATATCAGTGCAGCATCATCAGTGTCTCCTCATCAATTCTCACCAGTGCTGCCTCATTAGTGCAGCCTATCAGTGCCCATCAATGCTGCCTATCAGTACAGCCTCATCAACGCACATCAGTGAAGGAGAAAATATATCTGTACAATAGATACAAAGAAAAACTTTTTTTTTCAATTTTTTTGCTATTTTTTTGTTTACAGTGCAAAAAATTACCCCCCCCCCCCCCCAGTGGCGATTAAATATAACCAAAAGAAAGCTCTATTTGTGTGAAAAAATGCTAAACATTTCACAGTGTCACATGACCGCGCAATTGTCATTCAAAGTGCGACAGCCCTGAAAGCTGAAAATTGGCCTGGGCAGGAAGGGGGTGAAGGTGCCCGGTTGACAAGGGGTTAAAGGAATTGGGAATGTTTATTTCTATCACTTTAAGAATGTATTCAATCTATTTCTATTGAAATGATATTGATGATATTATTGATCAATATAGAAATATAGGACTAACATAGCGATGATGTACATCTCTCCAGGTATCCAGCCCTTCGTTGTGCTGACCAAGGGTAGAAAGGACTCCGGACTCAGACCCACGTTTGCCCAGATGGGGATAGAGAACATCTATCCAATAGAAAATTACATTATCTCCGACCATATCAAGGACAGGCACAAGCATCTCCAATTGCTGCGTTTTTTTAAAAACATCTTGAAGGCTGTAAACTTCCACCTGCAGGAGAGTGACGCGTTTCATACTCAGCGGTATGAATGGATGAGCTTTCTGGTGAAGGAGGCCAATGACATTTGTCGTAACAACTTCTGAAGCACAACTCCCCTCATCTCCTCGGAGCAGCCTTGGCATCCTTAAAATTCTCTGTACTGAAATTTTTTCGAGACATCTTCAGTCCAGTGACATCACACGTGCTTTTCATTTTTTCTTTTGAATTGGCAGTGGCAGCTTTCTCTTGTGGGGTCATTGTGAGTGGGGGTGGGGGGTAGACTAGATGTTCTGGGCTTACTGCTTGGACAGTGAACTTTATCTTTCAAATGCCACCGTACGCATTGACATACTTACCTACGTAGTCCCAGTCTGTCCTGACAACATGGTCATCTTCTGACTTTGAGAACAGCATGATCTGGTGCTTAACCAGGACCAATCTTAATGCAAACAATACATAAGGGAGTCCTTAGAAGTCCTAATTGCTCTTACAAAGTTCTTATAAGTCCTAGAATTCCAAGATACCAAAAATACAAAGAGGCAAAGGTGGCAGCCATCCGCAGAGTGTGACCAGCTCTGTAGGGATGACAGTAAGGGAAGAACAGGAGGCGCCACCTAAGTGCAGTATGTGTATAAAGACGGTTTATTAAAAGTGTTTAAAGATGGCTAAAAACTTCAGACTTATATGTCCTTAGTTCGCTCCTTTAGCAGGCTCTGCCATTCTCATCCAGGCTGGAAGATGGGAGAATGGAGTCGGGACCAGGGGCGGACTGACAACTCATGGGGCCCCCAGGCAATTGGGGATCATGGGGCCCCTGTGTCCTTGCCCAAACTCAAAAAAAAGCCTATGAAAAAGGTACCAGGGGCATCTCATGGGGCCCCCTACTGACCCTGGGCCCTTGGGCAGTGCCCAAGTTTCCAAATGGTCAGTCTGTCCCTGGTCGGGACACCCTGTGTACATCAGGAAGTGCACCGGAACCAGTGTGGCATTTTTTTCTGCACAGAACTGTATTGGAACATAGCAAAATGCATCAAAAATGCACCGGATAGCCAGTAGGAAATTTTTTTCCCCATTGAGATCTGATGGGTTTTCAAAGTGTTCCTTTCATTTTTTGAGCACTGTATTTACTTATAACAGTATATTATTCTGCACTATATTTTTGTAACATTACATTTTATAATGATCATGATAATAATTATATTCACTATGAAAACTATATTTATAATAAAAACTGCAATTATCAAGAAGTACAGGAAAATAATCTGATTTATCACTATTAGGGATGAGGTTTGGATTCACAGCTACCATGGGTTCAAGACGAATCCTGCGGGTTTGATATACAGTCAGGATAATTGTACAGATCCATAGGGAAAAAGCAAAAAACTACCATTCGAATGGATAGAAGAATAGCCAAAATGGGGCGGACTCAGCCAACAATCAGCTCCGGGAAGATGAAAGAAGGTGTGACGTTCCCTGTGAGGACTGTTACAATTAGAAGACGCCGATGTGAAGCCAAGCTACAGTATGTAGGGATCCACAGTATATGCACCAGTCTCTTTGAAACAACTTATGTAGAGAAAGATAGATCTAATCGAATTATCTTTCTACAGCCTATTGGTGATCGCTGTATCATTGCAAATGTGCCCCTCAGAGAAGTGGTCCTTTTAGGTTCCCCTATGTTTCGCCTGTCAGACCTTGCATTTGGGTCATTCTGCAGTACGCCCTATTAATGGGAGCCTATGTATATATGCAATTTGTTTTTTCCATTGTACGGTTCCTTATCTTTTGGTGATATATGTACTAATGTATGTCATTTCTCTATACTGATAATATTCTACCTCCTCTATTATACCGTTCTGAGGAAACTATATGTAAAACGCGTTGACCATTGAAGCTGGGCAAGCAAAAAACCAGTCTATGTGGCGACACAACTTACTGATAAGAGGAGGTTGTGTATCTTAGGGGATTCTTTTCCCAGTCTCCCCTGTTTTTAAATGTATGAATTGTTTCAATGTATTCTCATTGTTTTACATTTCTATAGAATAAAATATATATTTTTGAATGAAATAAAGTGTGGTCTCATAAAGTAGTGCCTATAAAGTCCCTTTTTATACTGTCTAGGGGTCTAGCAGTTGTTTTCTTCATATTGTTATAACGTCTTTCATTATTTAGTGGTATTTTCAAGGATCTCACACGATTGGGATCTTTTCAAGGTCACCAGAGGATGAATGCAAATGGCTGAGCCAGCTGAATTGTGAGCCCTTTCAGAGCATAGTGCCTACTGTCCTCACTACATCTCCAATAATGGGAGGCAACAATTCTTGACGACGTCTCTCAGTGCACATTTGGGATTCTGTATCACACCAACAACAGAGGATGAATTAACATCACGGATTTCACCGACTCCCTGTATGATGAAGAATTACAATGTATGTCTGAACATTTAAGTAAGGGATTTCATATGCAGCCAGATCCTAACATAGAAGATATCAGATATGTGTGTTTCTCATCCCACTGGGGTTCCTGCACAGTCCCCACAGATGCAGTTTACCTAATTATCCTAAGTATGAATAACGAGTAGGAAAGCTAAGGGGGCAGAGGTTGTGGCTTCTGGTCCGGGTACTGGTACTTTCTCAATTATGTATCTTTCCGCTGCAATGGTACCAGGGGCAGACTGACCATTTGGAAACTCTGGCACTGCCCGAGGCCCGGGGTCAGTAGGGGGCCCCATGAGATGCCCCTGGTACCTTTTTCATAGGCTTCTTTGAGTTTGGGCAAGGACACAGGGGCCCCATGATCCCCTATTGCCCGGGGGCCCCATGAGTTGTCAGTCCGCCCCTGAATGATACTGTCCATATTAGTAGATGCAGAGGGAAGCTCTCATTAGTCAAGGAATGTAAATATTAAAGTCAGATGGCAGCAGAGATCCCCCAGTTATGGTACAGAGAGCCTTGGTTATGATGATGGATCCATTGGAACAGATGATGCTTTATATTACTCTGCAGCAGTGGTGTATCTATGTTCTGTGCTGCCCTGGGCAACACAAAAATTGGCCGCTTAACACCCCCCACCTTCTGCGGAAAGGAGCCCGGCACCGACCAACCCCCCCCCCCCTCACAGAGAGCCTGACTTTGGCCAATAACACTCCTGCTCCCCCACCCGAGAGAGCTTTCCACTACCACCACCGCCCCCCATACACTGGCCACCCCCCCTGTCGAGAGAGAGAAGACACTTACCTTCACAGCTCTGGACATTCCCAGGAATGAGAGTCGGGCTCTGCATACAACATCAAGCAGCTGACAGCCCCTCTCGGATCCCACCTGGTCATCATGCCGTGTGTGTTCCTCCTTCCTTCCCTTCTTCTGGGGGGGGCAGTGTTTGCCTTGTGGTAATTACACTGCAGACACAAGCTGACCCCTTGATTATTTTAAAGTAGACCTGTGCTATGCCCTTGCATTTCACTTAATTCCACCTGCTCACTACTTATACTCACCATCCCTTTCCTTCCTCTCTACTTACCCACCAGGGGAGAGATAGAAACATGACTCTCCTTTCTCCTATCCACAACATTGGTGCCCAAGCAGCCCACCACTATTTCTGAACACTCATGGACATGGAGAGCATCCTTTTCCATATCTCAGCTTTATTCACTGCTGAGGCTAACTTGCCCCACTTCCTTTTTTTGTGACACAACTGAGAGCAGGGGCGGATGGATAACTCATGGTGATTGGACACAGCTGATTACGTGATACAGCGATCACAGACAGCCCCGGATGTGCGCTGCAGGTGGCGTATGCAGGGGAGGGCGCGTTCTGGATGGACATCATACGACGCCCTCCCAGAACCAGACAACCACAGTGTAGCCATCATTCGGCTATAGCAGGGTAGGAAAGCGGTTAAAGTAAATAAAAACACATAGGGGGGAATTCAATAAAGCTGCCAAGCTACTTTTCTGGTGTTAATTCCTCCTGTTAATGTATTGTGCCAAATTCATGAAGCATTTGCAACACTTTTGGTTCTGACAGCGACTTGTGCACCAAATTCAGGTAGTCCTAAAATGTGCCACTTTTACGTTGTGTTGTATTCAATGCACAAAATGTAAAAGTGGAGCTAAATAAGACCAACTTTCGTTTGTCAAACAGAGAGAAAGAAAGATTTTGCTGAAGTCTTGAGTTCATTCCAGGGGCGGACTGACCATTTGAGCACTCGGGCACTGCCCGAGGTCAGTAGGGGGCCCCATGAGATGCCCCTGGTACCTTTCATTGTCTTTTTCATAGGCTTTTTTGGGTGTGGGCGAGGACACAGGGGCTCCATGATCCCCTATTGCCAGGGGGCCCCATGAGTTGTCAGTCCGCCCCTGGTTCATTCTAAAAGTGATGCAGCATGAGCCGAATTCAAGTGCAAGTTCTACACAGGTATAAGAATTTGATGCATTCAGAAACAAATGCATACAATGCATGAAAAACACTTTTCACAAGATCTTGACAAGGGTAGAATAGATGCCTTTCAACCTAACCTGGCCTGCTAGGCCATACCCTCCACCGACTTAGATATACAAAATACACAAACCAGGGTTTTGGAGTCAAATGGCCGTAGCAGCCTTTTATTAACTAATACATTTCAATATAAATAACATAACATTCCAAAATAGAAACAGAAGAAAAAAACGTGGTAATTTGAAGGCAACAAACGCAAACTTATCTTTTGGGGAAAATTTTTCTTAAACTCAGGCCCCCAGCCGCAACCAATCAGCTCGGGGATAATTCTACTTATCCCCATCCGCTACACACCGGCTCGGAGATAACCCTACTTATCCCCATCCGCAACACACCGGCTCGGAGATAATTCTACTTATCCCCATCCGCAACACACCGGCTCGGAGATAATCCTACTTATCCCCATCCGCAACACACCAGCTCGGAGATAATCCTACTTATCCCCATCCGCAACACACCGGCTCGGAGATAATCCTACTTATCCCCATCCGCAACACACCGGCTCGGAGATAATCCTACTTATCCCCATCCGCAACACACCGGCTCGGAGATAATTCTACTTATCCCCATCCGCAACACACCGGCTCGGAGATAATCCTACTTATCCCCATCCGCAACACACCGGCTCGGAGATAATCCTACTTATCCCCATCCGCAACACAATGGCTCGGAGATTACCCTACTTATCCCCATCCACAACACACCAGCTCGGAGATAATGCTACTTATCCCCATCCACAACACACCGGCTCGGAGATAATCTTACTTATCCCCATCCGCAACACACCGGCTCGGAGATAATCCTACTTATCCCCATCCGCAACACACCGGCTCGGAGATAATCCTACTTATCCCCATCCACAACACACCGGCTCGGAGATAATCCTACTTATCCGCAGTGACCACCATTTTACCTATTCCAAGTTAACCCCTTGTTAATCGGAATGCTCTGAGGTCCCCATACCACCAATGGGTCCCGAATCATTCTACATACAGAATTCTTTCCTCCTCCAAAGACCAACCACCGGCAAGGCTGCCGTGGCAATCCAAGCCCAAGCATGAAGAGAAGGGAGGGTGGGAAGCTTCTCCTTCTACAGAATTCCCACTGGACTTCCTGAGATCTGACTCTCCCCTACCTTCCTGTGACCCCTCCCAACAATAACCATCCAATCAGGTAAGCTGCACTTTCCAACTTCTTACACTTCTTTTAACCCTATTAGGTTGTCCCTCTAGTCAGCCCGTCATGTCCTCCCTGCACTTAATATTTTTTTTTTTCCTGCTCCGGGCCTTCCTGTCTGTGCCAGTCTTTATGAATTCCAGGGACTGGCTTTTATTTTAAATGAAGCAGAAACCCTTTTTCAAAAGAAGGTTCACTATAAAAAGGCCAAAACTATAATCCAGTTGCTACTATTATTACTACAACTGCAATCACCACCAACACAACTACTGATAATGTTGTCACAGCGAATCCTACTGCTCTTCTACCTCTACTAATTCTACTGTCAGCAGAGCTGTAACTATTCCTCCATGGATGTATGTATTGGATGTAACGTGATGTAACGTGATGTAACATGATGTCTATACACAGGGAAGAGAAGGCAATTGTGGTTGTTGACCATCTGGAGGAAGAATGATAAGGAGAAGAGACAGATCCTAATATCCCAGCCGAGAATAGAAACGTTTGCCCGGGATCTCTTCCTTTTCAACAAAAATAAAATATAAGAATTTAGGGGAACAAAACGAATCATGAAGAATACTGTTGTCATGGACAAATGATTGACTAGCAACATGTCCCATGGCATAACAAAGGAGTCGTGAATGGATAGCTTGGGTCTGCTAGATGGCAAAGTGGTAAACAATTAAAGGCCAGTTCAGGCCACATTCAGTCCAGTGCAGTTTTTTTTTCAGTATCAAAAACACATGGAAAGTAGGGTATATTGTTTCCAATGGCATAGGTCACAGCAGTTCAGTCAGTTCCAGTGAGTTCTTGTGCCAGAAAAAAAAAAGTAGTACATTCTGCATTTTTCCTGCATTGAACTGTACCAGGGGCGGACTGACAACTCATGGGGCCCCCGGGCAATAGGGGATCATGGGGCCCCTGTGTCCTCACACACACTCAAACCACACCCAAAAAAGCCTATGAATGGTACTAGGGGCTTCTCATGGGGCCCCCTACTGACCCTGGGCCCTCGGGCAGTGCCCGAGAGCCCAAATGGTCAGTCCGCCCCTGAACTGTACTGAAACACAGTAAAGTGCATCAGATTGCAGTGGAATGCATTAAAAACATGCTGGGCCTCAGTACAGAGAGAAAAAAACAGAAAAAAAAAAAAAAAAACATCTGTAAGGCATCCAGAAATGCATAAAACAGCACCAGAACACATCAAACACACATTAAAGTGACACAAAAGCTTGTTTTTTTTTCTAAAATAACAAACATGTCTATACTTCTCCTTCCCCTCAAGAAGTGCCCCCAGGGAAAGCCACTTGCCCTGGGGGCACCTCTGTGTGCTCGTCACCTGAGCTTCTGCTCTATATGTCCACAAGACACATAAAGCTCTGGCTCGGTCCCACCCCCTGCTCCCTCCTCATTGGCTCACTGGCTGTAATTGACAGTAGCGGGAGCCAATGAGCTCCCATTGCTGTCTCAGCCAGTGAGGAAGAGTCCCCTAAAGCTGTTGAGAACATCGCTGGATCAGAGGGGGCTCAAGTAAGGATTGGGGGGGTAGGGGGCTTCTGCACATAGAAGGTAAAGAATTCATGAAGGTAAAAAACCTTGAGCCTTTAGAAACACTTTAAAATCTTGTATTCAGTAATGCATCCAGAACGGATCAGGAGTGCATTTGTGTGGTGTGAACTGGCCCTAAGAGAATATAGAAAACTAACAGCCAGATAATTTATTAAATATACAAATTAAATTTAAATATGTGAACACTTTTTGGCCTAAAGCTTTCCAATTCTATTTATCCAGTCCTGTGACCCAAGCACTTCTGCCAGACCAGTCAATCAAACTTTTCACCATTGCTTTTGAGTGGTACAGGTTAGTCACCAACCTCTCCCAACTAGCTGTCTGTAAAAATACATATCTACTCTAGTAAAACATAAACCACGAGTGTTGTGTGAGAGCTCAGTCTCAGTCCTGTGAAGACTGTGTCCTGTGAAGACAGAGATTGAGCTCTGCAGTGACTCTTGCAACAGTTGTCATTCCAGGTCACAATCCTCCACAACGTCTCTTTCGATCAGTTGACTATGTGGACCGCACGTATGCTTATCAGACAACGTTTCCCGGAAACCTCTCGACGCAGCAAATAAATTGGTAAACTTCACTCACAGAGGCTCCAGCTAATCGGCACCAACGATTT